CAGAGATCACTGTATTGTGGTAGTGTCGAGAAACCCCACTCATGGACCACGACCCCACTGTGCTAGGTGCTGTACAAACAGAACAGAAAGACGGTCTCTGCCCCAAAGAACTTAGGATCTTAATGCACGTTCTTAACATTGTTCATGGGAGTCGTCCCATTGACTTCCAAGAGACCGTTCACTTGCCTAAAGTTAAGCAGAAGCACAAGTGTTTGCAGGACTGTGGGCTAATCATTAGAAGGTTTTAGAGACAGACATTTGCACTGAATACTTTTCTTTGGGACTGGTGTTGAGCAGCAGTCAGAGCACCTTGTTAAGGAAACATCAATAAACTTTACATTTACAGGCATGTAACAGAAAGATCATTATTTTTGATGCAGCTGTTGAATTTCAGGAGGGAAAAATCTTTTATCCAGAAATCTTTTTGACCTCAGAAGTACCATTTGTTTTTACTGCAACATTTAAACACTTGTGCAGAAAGGAAATGCGGTTTGTGCTTTGGGAAAGGAAAATAACAAGAACAAAATCAAACTAGACAATCTGAATGAAATGCCAGGAATCCGTGTTAACGGGAGTTGGAAGGATGCTTTTTAAGACCTTGCTAGGCAGAGTTTTGGTTACTCATGACGTTTCTTAATCCACTGCAAAAATTCTCTTGGGTTAAGCTTACTTCCCAGTATCAAAATCCCTCAGATAAAATGACTCATTCCCAAGACTCTTATTTACAATAATCATCCCTCTGGGCCAAGCTTACCATCCAGTATCTTTATCCCTGGGATAAAGGTTAAGTCCTCATATGACAATCTTCTTCCCCTTTGGGACTTCAACAGGCATAGATTTAAAAGCACATTTTTCTTTTCCAACTTGCGTTTCCTTTCCCGAGTTGCTGAAGAAACGAATCAGCATTTCACAATATGAGAGAGGAACGTGTCTAATGCAAAGCACCAAGCAGCTTCTGAATGATACAGAGCTGCAGGGGAAAGGTTGTCGATGAAACAATTAAATCTAAAGAGGGACAACTGAAAGGGAGGATGCACAGCTAGGACCAGCTACTAGAGAGGAACAAACAATCAAGGATGTGAGTGAGCACAAGGTCCAATTCTGCAAAATGCTGATCATGCGGAGTTCTCGATCAATGGAATTTGAGGGCACTCAGCCTCTTCCAGGATCAGGCCCATAACAGAGCCCAGAACTGTTCTGAAGCAGAGGATTGTGATTCTCAGAGCCGGATTCTGGTACCCTTAATCATGTTGAAGAACTTTGCATGGCTGTCCTATTGAAAGTCAATGGGACAACCTACAAAGTAAGGTACTTCTCAATGCCAGAAACAGTATGAGAATCTGGCTCCATTTTCTCCCCTCCTTTTTCTCTCCTGTAACTTCATCCCAGACAGAATTATAATATAATGAGGAAGAAACTTGGATGGGGATTTTTTTTTGACTAGGAAATAAGACATTGAATTGAGTTCTTGCTACCTCACAGTTGAACAATGAATAAGCAATTTAGGAGAGTTGAAGGAGGTTGGAATTATTGACTATATACTTGCTAGATTATTCTTGAAATAAACATTTATTGTAAATTATTCTCAAAATCAACCGTTTTTGTCAGCTATCCATTCCAAGGACAATATAGCAAGTCTTTGACAGTTCTGGATGGAGAGCTGTTAATGTCACATCAACCCAATTATGCAACTTATTTTACAAGACCTTTTATTCTATTTCACAGATTTGACTATTACAGCAGTGCAATTTATTACAAGTGACTCATAACATTTAGTTCCAAATAAAAGTAGAAAAACACAAACATTATAAAGGAAAGTTACATGGGATGCAATGTACTGGAAATGTGTTTTTAAGAGCACGGGAAAAAATATATAAAAATACATTTGGGTCAAGGATTTTGCAGACATTTGTTGTTTTAGTTACCAGGTTGACACCACGTAGAAAGCACAGTATATTGAAAACGGTAATTAGAAATATGATAAAATCCAACTGTATATAAAAGGCAAAAATCAAAAAGAAAAATGAAAGGAAGAACAAGGGGGGAAAAGTCTATTGTATGGCAAACTTCCAATCCTTTGGCCACTAGAAAACGAAGTCAGTGGATTTCATATAAATTCTCTGTATAAAGGAATGTCCATGATCTGTTTACAATATGGCCCAGAATCAACATCTTGTGACCAGGCTAATAGATCTCCTCATAGAGGAAAACAAGGTGCTTATGTCATAGTTTATTCTCCCCAGTATAATACTGTCCGGAATTGGACTAGCGCCCCAAAATACCATTTTAGGAACATTGCTAATTCCTTTAATGGAAAGGAAATGCAGTAACCCGCTATAGAGTGCCGCCGAAGTAGGGAGCTTGAGTAACAGCATCATTATTGCATGCTTGCTTTAGCTTTAAAGTTCGTGTGGTTCACCGGCAGTGGGTGGGCTTCTGTGTTGAATACCCAGTCTTCCAGAGACAGCACGTCATCGTCACAGAACAGAAGATAGAGGTACCTGCAGCCACATGGCAGGAAGAGAGAAAAGAAAAACTGGTAAGTTGGATTACAGAAAGACTCTAATGGGATTCCAAGTGTACATATAAGACCAGATCCTCAGGGCAGTAAGTGGCATAGCTCGATAGCCGTAGAGCTAAGTTGATTTAAACGGATTTAGCTGAGAATCTGGCCGAAACTCCTGTTAAATACAGTGCATAGGCTGAAAATGACAGAGCACTCGGGAACTTGCTGAAATTGATCCCCAAACAGGTTCAGCTCGCTTTACGTAATTGTTCTGCAAAAGAGACGCAAAAGCCTGCAGTATCCCATCATCTTCCACAGTTTGCTCTGCAGGGAACCCAACGCTTTCTAAGATGAAGCTATTGTATATTTTGCATGAAGACGACCCACATCATAAAGACTTTTGTGCCCCGAGAGGAGATTTATTCTGAACGCTTTCTCATGATGCTACACTTACTTTAATGTCTCTGCCAGAAAAAAACTCTGTTGCATGTTGTCATGGTTTGGGGTGGTGGTATAAACATCTCGGATCCCGGAGAAGCCTGCTTCTACTCTACAATATTTTTCCAGTGCCTGAGAAAAGAAAAGAAATCTCAGCGACACACAGCTACATGGAGTAATCCGTTAATCAGCATCAGCTGTGTTACAAGTCAGGTTTACCAATCAGATTCAGGTTTTATAGCAGTTTCACTCTCACTGAAGAGTTTGATCATGAGCCAACAGTCAAGGAAAGATGCTAGTTCAAATGAAACAGCTGGAAAAAGGTAAACAACGTAAAGCTTATTGATTGCTTGGCGTTGATGCTCCCCCCATATAAACAGGTGTCAAATAATAACTCTTTGCTTTTACACAGCACCTTTCCAAGACACTTTCTGAATGCCTGAATGCTGCCACTGACATGCAACCACCTCTGGAGCACAGAGGAGGAGCAGCCCCAAGCACATCACACTACAAAACAGTGTTGGGAGTGAGAAGACATTCTAGCCGGGAAGTCTCTGGGATCTTTTACGTCCTCATAGCCGGGGCCGGCTCCAGGCGCCAGCAAAGGAAGCAGGTGCTTGGGGCGGCCAATGGAAAGTGGCGGCACGTCCAGGTCTTTGGCGGTAATTCGGCGGCGGGTCCCTCAGTCCCTCTTGGAGCGAAGGACCCGCTGCTGAAGAATGAAGCGGCGCGTTGGAGCTGCCGCCAAAGTGCCGCTGATCGCAGCTTTATCTTTTTTTTTTTCCTTTTCCACCCCCCCCGCTTCACCGCTTGGGGCAGCAAAAAAGCTGGAGCCGGCCCTGCTCATAGCACAGAGAAAATCTGGTCTTTTACAGTCTCATTCTGAAGATCCAAACATAGTAATTGATGCTCATATCTCTACCTTAATACGAGCAGGGCTGAGTCAACCCTGCAAGAATATGAAACTATGGTTTCACGGAGTCTAGATAATTCCAAACGTGCGGCTCAATCCACTCCATCTGACGTTACTACATTCATAGCCAGTACATTGTCTGAGGTCTGCGGCTCTTTTTTCCTCCCAACCCTGTGAGGTTTATTATTATTTGTTTAAACAAAGCCCAAACATTTTCAACGATCCGCAAAGAGACAAAAGCAAATTAGGTTTCTCTTTATATTACTGTGCGGTAGCTAACACATGACATTGGCTAATACGATTAAAACGCCGCTCATCCTTTTCCTGTCCTAGAAAGAGATGGCTGTAAGAATCCAGGGTTCTGTAATGGTTAATGCTGCGTAATTGCTGCTCATACCTTTACAACTTCCCAACCCCACTGTCTGTATTTCGGATCATGGGTCAGCCTCCACATGTACATGTAGCTTTCTACCACTTCAGGGCGCAGTATGTAATAGCGTTCGCTGAGTCTGGTGGCCATGGCTTCCGTTCCAGAATCAAAGCGAAAAGCTTCCGGGCCAAGCTTGGTATCTAAGCAAGAAAGAAAAACCCACACACGTAATAATCACCTTTAAAAATTCATAACCGACGCTAACAGGTTTTATAGGTGTTTTTATGCTGCATTAATACAGCCGAGGCTTGCCAGGAGGTGCAACAAACAATCCATCATGTCAACGCATCAGTATCAGTTCAGACACGGTGTCAAACAAGTGCAACTCTGCTGACTGAACGAATGCGCTTACTTAGCCCAGCTCTGAATCTGGTCCAGTCAAATATTTGGAGAAATACGAAAAGTAAATTGAAAGGGCTTCTGAAAGTAGCAGCCTGGCCCATGGCAACAAGATCAAAGGGTCACATTCAACCCTGGTGTAAGCGTGGGCACGAAGTCACTGGATTTTTGCCTGGGATGAATTGGGTCCTAAGACTCCTGATGGAAGCTCTCAGAGATCTCTCTCTCACACCAGATCAACCCCCACCTCTTCCACCGCAGTCAACAGGAGTTGCGAGGCTCTGAGCAGCATTCTCCGGATCAGGCCCTAGTGAGAAACATCAGCTAAAAAGCTCCTTCAGCAGAGCCCTGGAAAAGGAAACTATTCAGAGACAATCTAGCCATGCTGTTGATACTCCAGTGCTTCTCATGTTTATATGTTGTCTCAGGTAGGGGTTTCTTGACTTCATGGTCATTGGGCCCTCCAGACGGAACAATCATTAAAGGACAAATGCAAAATACTCTACTCAGGAAGGAACAATCAACTGCACATGTACAAACTGGGAAACGACTGCCTCGGAAGGAGTACTGCGGAAAGGGATCCGGGGGTCATAGTGGATCATAAGCTAAATATGAGTCAACAGTGTAACACTGTCGCAAAAAAAGCAAACATCATTTTGGGATGTATTAGTAGGAGTGTTGTAAGCAAGACACAAGAAGTAATTCTTCCACTCTGCTCTGATAAGGCCTCTACTGAAGTATTGTGTCCAGTTCTGGGTGCCACATTTCAGGAAGGATGTGGACAAACTGGAGAAAGTCCAGAAAAGAGCAACAAAAATGATTAAAGGTCTAGAAAACATGACCTATGAGGGAAGATTGAAAAAATTGGATCTGTTTGGTCTGGAGAAGAGAAGACCGAAAGGGGACATGATAACGGTTTTCAAGTACATAAAAAGTTGTTATAAGAAGGAGGACAAAAAATTGTTCTCATTAATCTCTAAGGATAGGACAAGAAGCAATGGGCTTAAACTGGAGCAAGAGACATGTTTAGTTTGGACATTGGGAAAAACTTCCTGTCAGGGTGGTTAGGCACTGGGAGGTTGTGGAATCTCCATCACTGGAGGTTTTTAAGAACAGGTTAAATGTCAGGGATGGTCTAGTTATTACTTAGTCCTGTCTTGAGTGCAGGGAACTGGACTAGATGACTTCTCAAGGTCTCTTCCAGTCCTACGATTCTATATGATTCTATGATCATTACTGTACAGTCATGAGGGATGTTTTTCAAAAGGACGATCAGAAGTTAGCTGGAACTGTGTCTGCCACCCTTTCCCCTCCTTTAGCGTCTAGTATGTTAACTTTTCTTTTGAAATGGAGATCGCTATGAAATAGGATGGAGTTACTTTCGATTGTATTTTCTGATTATAAAATAATAAACTACTACTGCTTTAAGAACAGGAGTACTTGTGGCACCTTAGAGACTAACAGATTTATTAGAGCATAAGCTTTAGTGGACTACAGCCCACTTCTTCGGATGCATATAGAGTGGAATAAATATTGAGGAGATATATATACACACATACAGAGAGCATAAACAGGTGGGAGTTGTTTT